CCAGACCTATAGCTAAAATCAGAGTATGCTATTCCCTTATAACTTTATCTTTGAATTATGTCACCTAAACTTTTTTTTTTAAAAAAAAAAAAAAGCTTTTACCCTAAGTGTTCCTTCAGCTCATATCCTCTGTACAATGACTTATCAGAAATGGTATCCAAATTTAATCTGCATCTTTTTTATCCCATTAACTTCTCAGACCAATCTATCTTCTGTCCCACTATTTCATGAAAACCACTTTACTTAAGTTTCATTTAGTAGTATTTAACTAAATTGAAAGGATACATTTCAGCCTTCATCCTATTTCCTATTTTAGCAGCAGTATTTGACAGTTGATCATTCTCTTCTTGAAATATTATCTTTCTTTCACCTCCCTAACAAAATATCCCATCAGGTTTTCTTCTTTCTCACTGCCTACCCCTTTTTATCCTCTACTTACCTCCTCATCCATCAGAATTTAAAGTTTTGGTGACCATCTGTTCATTTCATTTTTCTCTCTGAGTCTCTTCTCCCTCTTGTTTTAGCCCTCTCTTACTCTCTTGCTCTCACTCTCACTCCCATTCTGGCTCTCCCTTGCTCTTTCACCCTCACTCTCTTTCTTTCATATTGTTGGGATAACCATCTGGTTTTAGTAGAAAGTGAGGCACCATATTTATGGGCTAGGGGCATTTTGGACGTTAGCTTTGTAATAAAGTTTCCTTCCCCTGTAGAAGATAGTAAGATTCTCAATAATTCATAGCTCAAATCTTCTGAACCATTCTAGTTATACAGTTACATAACTGAGAAGCTGCTTTTTTTTTTTAAATACTCTATGTTCATGATCTTGACCACTTTAGCCCACTTAGGATTAAATGCATAATTTTTGGTAGTTCAAATAATATCAAGATTTCATCTACATTCCTTATTTATTTAAATTCAAGGTTTCCTTTTCTCCTTATAGGACTCATATATGCCTGTAAGTTAATAGTTTCTCTTGGAAGTCAGCTGGAAGCCTTTGAAACTTACATGTTCAGCATCTAAGGAATATATTTTTATCATGTATGAATCATCACACCAACCCTTCTTAGCTTTGAAAATGCTCTGATCTGTTCTGAAAGATTTGGCAATTTCTTCTCTCTTTAATTGAATGCCCTAGAGTGTAACCAGAAATCACTTTACAAATGTTTCAATGACAAAATGAAACTCCGCTTTATCTTCTTGTGTATTTTTTTCTCTAATTAGGTACTGTAAGTCATTTGACTGATGCTTTAAAATATGTAGATAATGTTCCTATAATAAATATTTGCTCCATTTAAAATAAATTTTCATCTTGTATTTTATGATCTTCTGAACCCAATATATTTCATATCAATGTTGCATTCCAATCTAAGCTTGTAATGAATTTTGAGCTGCAGTTAAGATTCAAAATTACACTAAAATTCAATCTTCTTTTAAGTTACCAATTTGTTAATAACCTAGCTAAGTTGACAAATAGATGAACATGAATGCACCTACATGTAGGTAAATTTTCAGGCAAGGAAAATCCACAAAAACTCATTGTTTTCCAGAGTTTTGGCAACGAGACTACAAATCTAACATGGATTAAAAATGTACTTCAGTTTTAAAACCTTGAAATATGGTGGCAATGCATTTCTGAATCAAATAAATATAAACAGATACTCATTGAGATTTGCTAATTCAATTAATAACATTGCAAGGATTAGGAAAATATTTTGAACAACTTCTTGCTTAATCTGTGTAACTTAAAATAATTTTACTATATATGTTATATCACCATTTATGCTTTAAATGTGATTAAAATTTTGATATGCAGTTTAAAGCAGCAAGGACATATACATACTTAAATATTCATGCTTTATTAAGACATTTTATTTCTTCTACAATTTCATTACTTTGATTATTTCTACTGTTCCTAGGAATGCTTTCATTTTTGGTTTTAAAACTACCAATACACCACTCCTTTAATAGTATCAAATATATGTCATTTTTCTTTGGGAAGTATAACTAAACCCATATATATTAATAGTTAAAGAAACACAAAAGTCAGTCACTTTTTATTAGGAGAATTTAGGTATTTTTAGTTGTTATGGAGACAAGCAATTATTCAAATATGATATACTGTCAGTTAACAGGCTTAGACTTAAAGGAAGAAAAGGCACAGATTATTAAGTCGTTACAGAAAAGTAGTTAACTGAATTTATTTAGGAAATTTGTACTCAAAAAATAAAAATACATCTATTGAAAAACATTTTCATCAATTTCAGTCCTAAATAATAATGTTAAATTATTATTCAAGTTACTGAAAAAAAAACAGTCACCCCAAATTGAACTAATTTATAAATGTTAAAGTTATCAACAATCAAAATTAGCTTACATAAGAAAGATTTTTAAATACATCATTAAAAGCTAAAAAAAATTTGCAACTCTAGAAGGCTTATTTGATCATAATAATTGTTGATTCTTTCTGTGTCTACTTTTCTAGTCAGGAAATTGAATCTCTATCATGAATATATTTCTCAATCCAGTTCAGTTTAGGGCAGTCCAAAAGAGGAACAGTCATTCTGAAGGAGTCTCCCCAAATAAAGTTGAATGTGTTTAGGTGCTCTATACAGGCTTTGCCTAAATAGAATAATGAGCAAATAATTTCCCCAACTATATCATGACCAAAAATGATTGTGACCATATACTAACTGGATTGACAAATGGGTATAATATATTAAGTTGCAATTTAACAGAATCAAATAACCCAAAGCTTGCCCTTTGCATTAATCAGCTTTTTGCTACTACAATAAAATACCTCAGGAAACTAACTTCATAACAAAACATTTATTTAATTTGAAAGTTTAAGTCCAAGATCAGGTGTTCCAATTGGTTTGGCCTCTGTGAGGGCTCTGAGTGGCAAAGATACAGCATGTGACCAGGAAAGACCACATGGCAAGCCAGAAAGCTGAGAGAGCAGCTAGGCCCAACTCAGGATGTTATGACCAACCGTCTCTTTAGACTACCTTCCAAAGGCATGCCCCCAATGACCATAGGATCTCCCACCAGGCTCACCTCCTAAACAGCATAATTGAACTCCCACCATCTTAGTATCATTAACTTACAAATATGAGTTTAAACATCTGCATGAATTCAGAAACCAATCACTGAAAACTAGAACAGGCCTGAACAATGAACATAATGATATTATTTCCCTTCTAGAAAAAGCAATATTAAATAACAACTTGGGGCACACATTGTTGAATCTGATTATCTCATGTGAACAGTACTATTCATGTATTAGAGGTTGAATCCTCGGCAAGTTAAATTCTCTATGCTTTAATTGCTTTTCCTATAAAAGAGGTAAAATAACAGTACTTACCTTATAGTTGCTTTATGATTAAGTAACTTATGTCAAGAAGCTAGAATAGAATCTGAAAAATAGTAAGAATTAGATAAATGTTAAATACTGCGATCAACAACTTGAGGTAAATATATTGTTTCCACAACTGGATAATAAATTGTGCCAAAGCAGGGACCAAATAGTAAATTCATTTACTTCTGATACTAGCATGCAATAGGTACTCAAAAACTTGATGTACAGTTATACAATACTGTATCATGTTAGATGTTAGACAAAATCAAAGTACAAGGTAGAATTCAAATTATTTTTTTTCTAAGGATTTATTTATTTACTTGAAAGGCAGAGTAGTACAGAGAGGCAGAGGCAGAGAGAGAGAGAGAGATCTTCCATCCGTTGGTTCACTCCCCAGATGGCTGCAATGGCTGGAGCTGTGTCAATCCGAAGCCAGGAGCCAGGAGCTTCCTCCAGGTCTCCCACAGGAGTGCAGGGTCCTAAGGACTTGTGCCTGGCTTTCCCAGGCCATAGCAGAGAGCTGGATTAGAAGTGGAGCAGCTGGATCTCAAACTGATGCCATATGGGATGCTAATGCTGCAGGCATGACTTTATCCACTATGCCACAGCGCTGGCCCCAGAATTCAAATTGTAAATGAGTTTTATATAAATCCTTCAGAGTAAATTCATTATACTAAAAAAAATCTGTAGGAAATTACATATAAAACTCCCATTTTTTTTTCAGACATACTGTCAATTTTTAAATGGATTCAAGATTAACAATATCTAAATGGCATTCCATGAACATACACATGATTTATTATTGACAAGATTTTTTGTTTCATGTTTTAATTCACCAGATAAAATATTTAAGTATATTTTGGATCATGTAAAGAATATCATAAACCTATTGAATACTTTTCTACATTCAGTATCCATTTGTGCTACTTATAATGGTATAATAAAAAAGAGCTTTTAATTGTTGGAGGCTAGTGAGAAAAAAATTATATGTAACTAATGAATTTTCCAGGTAAAGGCCCAATACCATTAACAATATTTTGAAGGAACAAGGTATTCAAAGGAGTGCTGTCGCTCCCCTTCTTCGTGGAGGAGCGACACTGAACCCTGCCTAGGCTTCCTATCCGAGTCACGGCACCATTATGTCGCTCCCCCTCTTCGTGGAGGAACGACACAGGACCCTGCGCTGTTCTTTTGTCTGCTCGGCCCTTCCTGGGTTTGCTGCTGGTTCTTCCCGGGTTGGCTACCGCCCCTTCCACCTCCGTGGAAGGGCGGTTCCCCCTAGCCACTTTCCCCGCTTCCGCGGGGGAGCGGCACACCGCCGGCCAGCTCTCTCAGGGGCTGCACAGGTGTTCCTCATAGATGTTCCTGGTGCATGTTGTCTCTCTCCTCCTTTATAGTCCTCTTCCACCGATCCCAACTCTGCTACCCACACGCCGAGTACGCTGCTCTCCTCCAATCAGGAGCAGCTCCTGCAGCTTGTCAAGTTGGTGAGAGGCAGCTGGGTAGAAGCTGTTTCCTCCTCTCCCAGCGCCATATTGTGGGAGAGCAGATGCACAGAATAAGTCTTAATTCCAGTAACTTAGTCTAGTCTGAGTTGCTCCCCACAGAGTGCAAATAGAATAAAAGACACAAGTCAATCCATATCAGAGTGTCTACATTCAAGTCTTTATTTTTTAAAGATTAATTTATTTTATTTTAAAGAATTACAGAGAGAGAGGAAAAGACAGAGAGAGAGAGATCTATTTGCTGGTTCACTCCCCCAAATAGCCACAACAACCATGGCTGGGTCAGGCTGAAACCAGGAGACAAGAGCTTCCTCTGAGTTTCCACGTGAATGCAGAGGCCCAAGCACTTGGTCCATCCTTTATTGTTCTTGCAGGCACATTAGTAGGGAGCTGAATCAGAAGTGGAACAGCCAGGATGGGACTTGAACTAGTGCCCATATGGGATGCTGACACTATAGATGGTGGCTTAGTCCACTGTGCCATAGCATTGTCTTCTGCATTCAAGTCTGTGTCCATTCCTGATTCCGGCTTCCTGCTCATGCACACCCTGGAAAACAGAAGGTGATAGGTCATGAAGTAGGGTCTCAGCCATCCATGAAGGAAACCTGTATTGAGATTCCAGGTCATGGCTTGGCCTGGCCCAGCCCCAACCATTTCAGGCATCAGAAGAGTGAACAAACAGATGAGGGCTCTCCTTACTATTGAATTAAAAAAATTATGAAGAATTCAGCTATCACACAATTATTTCAAGCCAAAAGTTTTCTTTGCTTTAAAAGAATCAGTATTATTTACATGTTCAAAAGTAATTTATTTTTAACATGACATTTATTCATTACATCAAATTAATATTGTTATGACGTTTATTTTTTGTAGTTTTGCTTATACAAATATTTAACAGCATAAAAAATTATAACTACTTCTGTATTTTTACTTATTTATGTAACTCTATAGTATAGGTGGCTTAAATAAACATTAGGGATATAACACAGTATTTTCTCATTAAAATGGTACTAAACTATAGTCAAATGAGAGACATTAAATAAAATCACAACAAAACAATTAGAATATTAGACACTGTATTATCAGAAGAAATTCAGTAGTATTTCCTAAATATCCTATACTTTCTTGATAATGAGATTTTGCTTCATTATTACTCTTTTTTTTTTTTTTAGAAAAGAAGTTGACACACTGCAGCCTAGGGACCAAATATTATTTAGTGTATGCTTGTTTCGTTGACAGATGACTCAGTTTATTATGGTTACATGAACCTACCTTTCCGCTTTAGGCTCCAACAAAGCATACAGCTGTCACATCCACCTCAATAACAGCTGGGCCCCTAGGAAACCAAGAAGACAAACCACAAAGTAAAAAAAAAAAAATGAGAAAAGCCAAGGTCACACACCTCCCAAACAAGGAAAGAAATTACAAGAAGGACTCAGCCACAGTACACAGTGCTCCCTTGATGATAGCCACAGTACACAGTGCTCCCTTGATGATAGCCAAATGCCGAAGCCTCTGGCTTCTAGAGTTACTTAACAGTTGAAGGATAGGAAGCAGCCAGCAGAGCTGTGAGCAGGCTTCAATCTCTACAGGGTCATGGGGTATCATTCACCACATGAAGGGACTCTAGAAGGTTAGAGATGCTCAAACCCAGCCAGATCAGGGACCTGAGATCCTGGACAAAACTTGGGCTCTGGCAGCTTTGGCCTTATCTTCCAGCTCATCTAGGAAAGGCTCCCAAGACAACGAGTACAAGGTATAACTGTAACTGTACATAGCTAACACCAGAGACTCGACACCCAGGCCATTCACGGTGTTCTGGGTCTACTGTTGTGCCACAGTCTCCTGCACTGGACAAGCTGCACCTGCTCCATGAAATGCACTTGCTCAGGATACATTTTATCCAGAGTCAGGTCAATGCACTGAGTAAATGCAAACTTTTCACTTAGCATTGTGAAGGTCACTGGCACTGGCTCCAGACCATGTTACTGCTCTACCCTTCTTAGTTTACAACATGCTTTTGGAAGTAAAGCATAATTGGAATGCAGACACTTCCGGGGCTACTTTCACAGGACAACAACCGAGCTGAATATGCGTGACAGACCACAATGCTAAGAATACTTACTATCTGAACATACATGGAAAATGTTTGCTGATCCCTACTCTAGAATTCTTCTTTCTTTCCGTAGTAAAAGATATACTTAAAAATTATGTTCACATAGATCAATACAGCAGAATAAATGAAAGAAACTAGACCACACAAATTTGTCCAACTGACTTTTGGGGTAGGATTTGACTCAAGGTAAAAAAGAGAGCTTTGCAACAAGTGGTAGTGGAACCATTGGACACATATAGGCAGAGAGACAGAGACACAGAGAGAGAGAGCGAACCTCTATAACTTATATTTTATACCAAAAAATAATCCAAAATGAGTTATAAATCTAACTGTAAAACATAAAATTGTGGGGCCGGCATGGTACAACGGGTTAATGCCGTGGCCTGAAGCACTGACATCCCATATGGGGGCTGGTTCGAGATCCAGCTGCTCCATCTCTGATCTAGCACTCTGCTATGGCCTGGGAAAGCAGTAGAAAATGGCCCAAGCCCTTGAGCCCCTGTACCCGCGCAGGATACCTGGAAGATGGCCTAAGACCTTGGGCCCCTGCACCCACGTGTGAGACCTAGAGGAAAAATCTCCTGGCTCCTGGCTTAAGATGGGCCCAGCTCCAGCTGTTGCAGCCATTTGCAAAGGGAGTGAGCCAGTGAATGGAAGACCTTTCTGTCTTTCCATCTCTCCATCTGCAACTCTGCCTCTTAAATAAATAAATAAACAAAAAGCAAAAAAAGCCATTGTAGAATAGTTTGGCAGGGTTTTTTTTTTGTAAAAAAAATCAACCTTTAATTACCATATAACCTAGAAATTGCTGGCTGTGGGACTGTCATATATTTTCTTGATTGTGCTAAATAATGTTCCTTCTGTAATCAATTTGCTTAAGGTTTTTATTGTGAAAGGATATTATATTTTATCAAATGTTTTCTCTGCATCTATTGCTGTTTTAAAAATGAGGACATAATATTCAACACTATCATCTATTGTAAACAAAATGGCAGGAAATTATAAACAGATTAAGAACATGCTAAAACTAAAAAAAAAAAAAAAGCCTACTAATCCAATATATTTAACCACAGATTAACAGGTAAAATCTATATAACCAGTGTAATTTAGTTAATTATATTCATTTTATGATAAAAACTAGAAAAAAGTTGCAATAATGTATGTAGTAAATATAACTGCATTCTTCAGAATCCATTGTGCATGTCATGCTATGATAGCATGAATTTGATTTATTTCAGAGTTATATCAGCAATTCTATTTGGAGTTGTGATTAAATGCAAGCCTGTTTTTTTCTTACCAGTGATGAAGATTATTATTAAGCACCCCTTAAATTCATTACAATAGCTAATGTGCTTTATGCTTTGAGGTTTAAATTGAACCTTATAAAGGCTCTCCCTCAAATGGTTAATTGAGAAGAAAGATTAGAGGTCATTAATAAAGTTACTGTGATAGCTTTGGGAAGAGCACTCTCAGTGGCTCTTCTTCATTCACTTATCTGTCTGCATGTTTTATTTTTTGCTGCTTCTCCCTTCTCCTACATTTCCACTTTCCCTATTTTACCTGATTATCCATTGTCTCCTCCCTATCCATCCTTTTCATTTTTGTACTTACAGCTTTTCGAGACTTAAAATCTGTCTAATCTTTTTCTGATTTACAAATATTTGATTTTTCTTGCTAAGGGTATGAGCCCATCAAGTGTGTGAAGAAGCTAAGCTAGAGAAGAGTGGCAAAGAGTAGATAATTTTGTAAGGAGGCAGAGAAGATTGGGATTTTGATTTTGGTCCTAAAAAGGTTACAGTTGCATTAGGGATCTAAATATCTGGATTTGAATGGAATCCTGGGAATAGATGTTTAAGGACTGAATTTGGAAGGAAGATTAAAAGAATAGGTGTTAAATGTAGGATGTAAGATAAAAAAAAGGAAAACAATTCTCTATTAGTTTTAATGAGAAAAACTCCATATTTCTCTAGACAAAACATTAATTTCAATAACAAGTAAATTTAAAGAATATATATTTTAGTGCATTTGCAATGACTGTGCATTCAAAATTGAACACCTAATTCTTTTTTTCATTTTTTTCTTTTTTTTTATTTAGTAAATAAAAATTTCCAAAGTACAGTTGATGGATTACATTGGCTTTCCCCCCCACATAATTTCCCTCCCACTTGCACCCCTCCCAGCTTCCGCTCCCTCTCCCATTCCATTCACATCAAGATTCATTTTTAATTATCTTTATATACAGAAGATCGATTCAGTATATATTAAGCAAAGATTCATCAGTTTGCACCCACACAGAAACACAAAGTGTAAAAATACTGTTTCAGTACTAGTTATAGCATTACTTCACATTGGACAACACATTAAGGACAGATCCCACATGAGAAGTAAGTACACAGAGACTCCTGTTGTTCACTTAACAGTTTGACACTCTTGTTTATGGCGTCAGTAATCTACCTAGGCTCTAGTCATGAGTTGCCAAGGCTATGCAAGCCTTTTGGGTTCGCCAACTTCAATCTTATTCCGACAGGGTCATAGTCAAAGTGGAAGTTCTCTTCTCCCTTCAGATAAAGGTATCTCCTTCTTTGAATAGTACTAGAACAAAAAAAAAAAATACTAAAATGGATAAAGTATTACATTGTATATCAACAGTCAGGACAAGAGCTGATCAAATCACTGTTTCTCATAGTGTACATTTCATTTCAACAGGTGCTCAGTTAGTTGTCGCCAATCAGGGAGAACATATGATATTTGTCCCTTTGGGACTGGCTTAATTCACTCTGCATAATATTTTCCAGATTCCTCCATCTTGTTGCAAATGACCGGGTTTCATTGCTTTTGACTGCTGTATAGTATTCTATAGAGTACATTCCCGTAATTATTTTATCCAGTCTACTGTTGATGGGCATTTGGGTTGGTTCCAGGTCTTAGCTATTGTGCATTGAGCTGCAATAAACATTAATGTGCAGACAGCTTTTTTGTTTGCCAATTTAATTTCCTTTGGGTAAATTCCAAGGAGTGATATGGCTGGGTCGAACGGTAGGGTTATATTCAGGCTTCTGAGGAATCTCCAGACTGACTTCCATAGTGGCTTAACCAATTTGCATTCCCACCTACAGTGGGTTAGTGTCCCTTTTTCCCCACATCCTCGCCAGCATCTATTGTTGGTAGATTTCTGAATGTGAGCCATTCTAACTGGGATGAGGTGAAACCTCAATGTGGTTTTGATTTGCATTTCCCTGATTGCTAGTGATCTTGAACATTTTTTCATGTGTCTGTTGGCCATTTGGATTTCCTCTTTTGAAAAATGTCTTTTGAGGTCCTTGGCCCATCTCTTAAAAGGATTGTTGGTTTTGATGTTGTGGAGTTTCTTATTTCTTTGTAGATTCTGGTTATCAACCCTTTATTTGTTGCATAGTTTGCAAATATTTTTTCCCATTCTGTCGGTTGCCTCTTCCCTTTCCTGACTGTAGCTTTTGAAGTACAGAAACTTCTCAATTTGATGCAATCCCAAATGTTAATTTTGGCCTTGACTGCCTGTGCTTCTGGGGTTTTTTCCAAGAAGCCTTTGCCAGGACCTATATCTTGCAGGGTTTTTCCACTGCTCTCTAATAATTTGATGGTGTCAGGTCGTAGATTTAAGTCTTTAATCCATGTTGAGTGAATTTTTGTGTAAGGTGAAAGGTAGGGGTCTTGCTTCATGATTCTGCATGTGGAAATCCAATTTTCCCTGCACCATTTATTGAATAGACTGTCCTTACTCCAGGGATTGGTTTTGGATTCCTTGATCAAATATAAGTTGTCTGTAGATGTTTGGATTGATTTCTGGTGTTTCTATTCTGTTCCATTGGTCTATCTATCCATCTGTTTCTGTACCAGTACCATGCTGTTTTGATAACAACTGCCCTGTAGTATGTCCTGAAGTCTGGTATTGTGATGCCTCCTGCTTTGTTTTGTTGTACAAGATTGCTTTAGCTATTCGAGGTCTCCTGTGTCTCCATATGAATTTCAGCACCATTTTTTCCAGATCTGAGAAGAAGGTCTTTGGTATCTAGATTGGTATTGCATTGAATGTATAAATTGCTTTTGGGAGAATGGACATTTTGATGATATTGATTCTTCCAATTCTTGAGCATGGAAGATTTTTCCATTTTTTGGTATCCTCTTCTATTTCTTTCTTTAAGGTTTTGTAATTTTCATCATAGAGATCTTTAACGTCCTTGGTTAAGTTTATTCTAAGGTATTTGATTGTTTTTGTAGCTATTGTGCATGGGATTGATCTTAGAAGTTCTTCGTCAGCCATGGTATTGCCTGTGTATACAAAGGCTGCTGATTTTTGTGCATTGATTGTATACCCTGCTACTTTGCCAAACTCTTCTATGAGTTCCAATAGTCTCTTAGCAGAGTTCTTTGGGTCCCCTAAGTAATCATATCATCTGCAAAGAGGGATAGTTTGACTTCTTCCTTCCCAATTTGTATTCCTTTGATTTCTTTTTTTTGCCTAATAGCTCTGGCTAAATCTTCCAGAATTATATTGAATAACAGTGGTGAGAGTGGGCATCCCTGTCTGGTACCAGAACTCAGTGGAAATGCTTCCAACTTTTCCCCATTCAATAGGATGTTGGCCGTGGGTTTTTCATAAATTGCTTTGATTGTATTGAGGAATGTTCCTTCCATATCTAGTTTGCTTAGAGTTTTCCTCATGAAAGGTGTTGTATTTTATCAAATGCTGTCTCTGCATCTGTTGAGATAATCATATGGTGTTTCTTCTGCAGTCTGATAATGTGGTGTATCACATTGATTGTTTTGCGAACACTGAACCATCCCTGCATACCAGGGGTAAATCCCACTTGGTCTGGATGGATGAGCTTTCTGATGTGTTGTTGCATTCTGTTGGCCAGAATTTTATTGAGGATTTTTGCATCTATCTTCTTCAGGGATATTGGTCTGTAATTCTCTTTCAATGCTGCATCTTTTTCTGACTTGGGAATTAAGGTGATGCTGGCTTCATAGAAAGAATTTGGGAGGATTCCCTCTTTTTCGATTGTTCTGAATAGTTTGAGAAGAATTGGAGTTAGTTCTTCTTTAAATGTCTGGTAGAATTCAGCAGTGAATCCATCTGGTCCTGGGCTTTTCTTTGTTGGGAGGGCCTTTATTACTGTTTCAATTTCGGTCTCAGTTATGGATCTGTTTAGGTTTTTTATGTCTTCATGGTTCAATTTAGGTAGGCTGCATGTGTCCAGGAATCTATCCATTTCTGATAGGTCTCCCTGTTTGCTGGCACACAAGTCCTTGTAGTAATTTTTGATGATTCTTTTTATTTCTGTGGTGTCTGTTGTTACGTTTCCTTTTTCATCTCTAATATTATTGATTTGGGTCTTTTCTCTTCTTTTTTAGTTAGTTGGGCCAATGGGGTGTCAATTTTGTTTATTTTTTCTAAACATCAGCTCCTCGTTTGGCTGATTTTTTGTAATGTTTTTTTTTGATTCAATCCTGTTGATTTCTTCTCTGATTTAATTATTTCTCTTCTCCTGCTAGATTTGGGTCTAGTTCGCGGCAGATTTTCTAGGTCCTTGAGATGAATTGAAAGCTCACCTCTTTGATGCCTTTCTAATATCTTGATATAGGCACCTATTGATATAAACTTCCCTCTTAACACTGCTTTTGCTGTATCTCATAAGTTTTGGTATGTTGTGCTGTTATCCTCATTTACTTCAAGAAAATTTTTGATTTCTCTTCTAATTTCTTCTATGACCCAGGGTTCATTCAGGAGCATGTTGTTCAATCTCCATGTGTTTGCATATGCTCTAGGGATTCCTGAGTTGCTAATTTCCAACTTCATTCTTTTGAATTTGCTGAGATTTGCTTTATGGCCTAGTATGTGGTCAATCCTAGAGAAGGTTCCATGTACTGCTGAGAATAATGTAAATGCTTTATGTGTAGGATGAAAAGTTCTGTAGATATCTGTTAGATCCATTTGGGCTATAGTGTCATTTAAATCTACTGTCTCCTTGTTGATCTTCTGTCCAGTTGATCTATTTCTGAGAATGGAGTATTGAAGTCCCCCAGTACTACTGAATTGGGGTCTAAGTCTCCCTTTAAGTCCCTAAACAAATCTTTTAAATAAACTGGTGCCCTGTAATTAGGTGCAGATACTTGATAATTGTCATATCTTTCTGTTGAATTGATACCTTAATCATTATATAGTGTCCCTCTTTGTCTCTCTTAACAGTTTTTGTGGTAAAGTTTATGTTGTCCAATATTAAGATGGCTACACTTGCTCTTTTTTCATTTCTGTTGGCATGGTATATCTTTTTCCAGCCTTTCACTTTCAGTCTGTATGCATCTTTGTTGGAAAGATGTGTTTCTTGTAAGCGCAAATAGATGGGTTTTGTTCCTTAACCCAATCAGCCAATTGGTGTCTTTTAACTGGACAGTTCAGGCCATTAACGTTCAATGTGAGCTAGGCTAATGTTGGGCGCCACTTTACATACTTAAAATGGTGCCTGCTCTTTGTCTTGCTCGGCTTTGTATGGTGAGTGGAGAGAGAGACTACTGTCAGTACCGGTTCCCCTTATTTCTTTGTTTTTTTCTCTCCTCCAGTCAGCCTGGTGAACTTTCCCCTGTGGGGCTTCAGGCCTCGTTCCCTCTAGGCTCTTTCTGCCTTTCCCCACCAATGTCTCTGGTTACTGAGGTTTTTGTCTCACCTCACCTTCCAGCGCTGGCATGCAGACTCTGCGGCTCAGCTTCCACGCCGTGGGCAACATTGCTCTCACCATAGGTCCTCCTTGTCTCATCCTCTAGATCCATAAGAGTTTCCTCTGCAATATTTTCCTGAGCCTTTTCCTGATGCTACAGTAACTCCACTTTTATTAAACTATCTTTTCCCAGACTATTGGTGCGCGCCCTCACTATTCCGCCATCTTGAACTTCTAATTATTTTTTAACTCTATATTCTGAACTGTTTGATAAACTGTATTTCTCTGGCATGCTTTAGGCTAAAGTATTTTGGTTAATGGAAACTTCTTCTTTTTTTTTCAATCTCCTCATTTAATATTTAATAAGTAAAATTGCATCTGGTATTGAGAAACCTCTATATCATGAGTTACAATTCTCCTTTTTAAATTTTATTTAATTTGTACAAGTTTCATGTATTTCATATATACAGATTAAGAAAGAGAGAAACACTCCCCCCACCCTGCCCATGCCCCAAAGCTTCTTTCTCCTCCCTGTCCCATTCCCACTCTTAATTTTTACAAAGGTCTATTTTCAGTTTACTTAATGATCGTAAAGTTAACCTTACACTAGTAAAACAGTTCAACAAATAGTTTGACGAAAAAAAAAAATGTTCCTTGAAGAGACAAGGGCTGTAAACAATCATCGAATCTCAAAATGTCCATTCCACCCCAATACATTGCATTTTAGGCACTCTACTAGATATCTTGAATCAGGGATAATACGATATCTGTATTTTGGGGATTGGCTTATTTTACTAAGTATAATAGTTTCCAGTTGCAATCACCTTATTGCCAAAGATATGATTTCATTTTTATTTTACAGCTGAGTAGTATTCCATAGTGTATAACCAAAATTTCTTTATCCAGTTAATAGTTGATGGACATCTGCATTAATTCCATATCTTAACTATTGTTAATTGTGCTGCAGTGAACATGGGGGTACATATAACTCTTTCATATTCTGATTTCTTTTCCATTGGATAAACTCCCAGGTGTGGGATGATGTCTGATCATATGATAGGTCTATATTCAGATTTCTGAGGTATCTCCATACTGTCTTCCACAGTGGCTGTACTTGTTTACATGCCCACAAAATAGTAGATTAAGGTAACTTTTACCCACATCCTCACTAGCATTTCTTATTTGTTGATTTCTGTATGTGAAATGAAAAAATCTGAGTATGAATGGATTGCATCAATGTCAACTTTATTATGATATTTATACTATATTTTTACAAGATGTTACTCTTGGGAAAACCCAGGTAAAGGATTATCAGAATTATTGTTACTATTACAGCTATTATTTTTTGTAGTGACATGTGAATCTTTAATCACCCCAAATTAAAAATTTATTTTTTAATCTGCTAAACAGGAGCTTTCAAATACTGCACATCTTTCTTTGCTGTGACCAATTGTCTCTGATAAATTTTAATATGTAATTTATTCAGCATGAATATATTATGTATCCACAGTATTATACAATGAAACTGTACTAGGTACTTAAAAATAAAAGCTAAGGGGCCAGCGCTGTGGCTCACATGGCTAATCCTCTGTCTGCAGCGCTGGCAACCATATGGACACCGGGTTCTAGTCCCGGTTGCTCCTCTTCCAATCTAGCTCTCTGCTGTGGCCCAGGAGGGCAGTGGAGGATGGCCCAAGTGCTGGGGCCCCTGCACCCTCATGGGAGACCAGGAAGAAGCACCTGGCCCCCGGCTTTGGATTGGTGCAGCGCCAGCCATGGCAGCCATTTGGGGAGTGAACCAATGGAAGGAAGATCTTTCTCTCTGTCTCTCTCTCTCTCACTGTAACTCTACCTAATAAAAAATAAATAAACAAATGCTAAACATTGGCTACATTTACTGATAAAACCTATCAATTTCCACCTGAAATTATCTTCAAATTAATTATATGAATAGCTGCAAAATATACTAGTACTCTGTTGTGTTACTTATATAAATCCAAAATACAATAAGCATATTGAAAATACTTTGATCAGTCATGGACATTTTGGTGCAGTGGTTATGTTATTGCTTGGGACATCCTCATCACACACTGGAGTGCCTGGGGTCAAATCCCACTTCCACTTCTGATACAGCTTCCTGCTAATGTTCTATGGAGGAAGAAGATGATGGTCCAAGTACCTGGGTCCCTGTTACTCTTATGGAAGATCAGGATGGAGTTCCTGGCTCCTGGCTTCAGCCTGGCCCAGTGCTGGCTGTTGTGGATGAGTCATCTGGTGCATAAAAGATCTGTCTTTCCCTCTCTTTTTGTCACTGTGCCTAAAAATAAATAAAATAAATAAATAAAATGCTTTCATATTTCAAAATTCAAAACGTGAGCTCTGAATTCAGAATCTGGATTTTAATTACATATTGGGAAGCTACTAGTTACTGTTAACTCAGAAAAGATAATTGACTCCTTAATATCTCATTTCATTCTAAAATAATCAGGATAATAATGTACCCACCTTCAATTTTGTGAGGATAAATATAAAGAACCTGAAAGAGTGAAAACACTAAACTGTTTTATTTTTAGGATTATTTATTTACATTTATTTATCTGATATAGATAGAGACAAAGAAAATGTGGGTGTCCCAAGTAGTGGATTAACATGTTGTGCCCTAATGCTGGTCCCATTAAAGTGTTCTTGATGTTATATATAATAATGAATGAAGAGAATGGAATGATCTCATATTCTCAGCAAATATTAACATTTAGGAAATCACATTTAGATGGTTCAAATGAATCACAAACATGGACACAGACATTTTATTTGGCTTTTAAAGTGCCGTGTACTTTATTTTTTAAAGAAATATAGAATAACATAATGTTATGGAAATATACGTTGATTGAACTACTCTTAATTTTTGAAATGGTAGTTTACATTGTTATCTTTCAGACATATTATTTTAAATAAGGAAAATAAACTGAAATGTTCCATAACAGATATTCAGAAGTTCGACCAATGAAATATCATTACATGAGATATGAGAAATTACAATTCTTGGGGCCAGTGCTGCGGCACAGTAAATTAATCCTCCCCCTGCAGCACCAGCATCCCATATGGGTGCTGGTTCTAGTCCCGGCTGCTTCTCTTCCAATCCAGCTCTCTGCTATGGCCTGCGAAAGCAGTAGAAAATGGCCCATGTACTTGGGCCCCTGCACTCATGTGGAAGACCAGGAAGAAATTCCTGGCTCCTGGCTTCAGACTGGCTCAGCTTTGTTGTGGCCATATGGGGAGTAAACCAGCAAAAGATCTTTCTTTCTGTCTCTCCCTCTCACTGTATGTAACTCTACCTCTCAAATAAACAAAGTCTTTTAAAAAATGCAAAAAAATTACAATGCTAACAGTATTCACAAAATCTGGGATTTTTACTTCTTTACCACATGTGAAATGCAAACATCTGGATTTCTTTAATATTACTAAATATTCCTTGAATTGTTCCTATGAAAGTCAGATATCCTTTAAAGTGCTTAGCAGATGTTTTCTGCCTTTTCTTTTTTGCCTTTTCATTATATTAGCCCCCTTTTTCCCCACTTTTCATTTTACAGAATTATTTTCACAGGGAAGTAGTATGTGTGATAAAAACATCTAATAGAACCTGACAACACTTCATAACACGTTTTATTTTCAAAATTCTTTGAAAGTCCTCATTGCTTCTATTATTTGATAGGTTAGTAAAATGTGACTGTATTTTATTAGAAGAATAATAGTACCTGGACTAGTTACATTATTTTTTTAATTTCTACTTTCTGATGGCAAATACTATGTAAAAGTTGCCATTTTACTTAAGTTATATAAAGTAGATATGGTAAAGGCCTATTAGCTGCAAGTCAACTCGATCACTATATAAAATGACTCCAAGGGGCATATTTTAATGCTCTTTCCAGGCTGGTTTTGAATAACTAATGTTTTCAGTCTTCTCATGGGAGGATATTTTATAGCATGGTTTCAGTATTGGACCATTTTTCCTAAAACTATATTTATTTAAAATTTATTTTCTTATATCACATCTATTCAACCCTTTAAATGTTTTACATTTGTTTTTATGAATTTCTCATCCGGTTATCTCATGACTAATGGATATTTTATTACTAATATTTCCAATAAAATAATTTATATTAATTCAGCTATTTAAAGAAATAGAGATAAATCTAAGCATATATTATGTAGAACCATAGATAACTGCCTAAATATATGTCTTTAAGTATTGTACTTAAATGATATTATTCAGCTGGCTATTTTGCAGGGTTTGAAAAACCAAAGGTATATATTATAAATATACTAAGAAATAAAAGATGGGATTGACAAACATAGGTAGGGCAAACTAATTGAAAGAATAAAAAATTGAGTTATCTGTACAATGTAACAGTTTTGTACATTAGCTCAATCTGACTGAGGTCAGTTGTTCTATATTTTTATAAGATCAGCTAAGAGATAAATATAAATGCTCATGATTAAAGTTTTGATTAATATTAGTAAAAATAAGCAAGAAAAATATATTTGTAAATACATAAAAGTTCATATGTAATATTATGATTTATAAAATTTTATACAAGTATATTAGATTTGATAGAAATAGGATTACTAAATAAAATTCCCAATATGGCTATAAAAATGTTATTATAACATGTATTATATGTAACATATTTTGTTTTATAAAAACCAAAAATGATCAATGAGTCAAATCTTAAAGTTTTATAAGAAAAAAATAGATTGATGAAAATAGCAGAATTTAAAAGGAAAGGAGTAGGTATTTAGCCTAGAGATCAAAATACCTGTACTACACATCTGACTGCCTTAGTTCAAGTTCAGGTTCCAGGTCCTGATTTCAGCTTCCTGCTAATGCGGAGCCTGGGAGTCAGTGGTGATGGTTCAGAAAACTGTGTTTCTGCCACATACAAAAGAGAGATGGATTGTATTCTAGGCTCCTGATTCCAGCATATGTCCATCCCTATCAGAGGCATTTAGCGAGTGTATACAAGCTCTCTATTACTGTGTATATCTCAAATCAAAAAAAAATGAAAATGGAGAAATTTCAACAGATAACTGCGTAGAAAAAAAATTGATCAACATACCTGGCATGCTTTCATGTATTCCTCTAAATATTTTATTTCCCCCCAAATATTTTCACAAAAATAATCAGTTTTATGGGGCCAGCATTGTGGCATAGTAGGTTAAGCCACCACCTGGAACATCAGCATCTAATTTGGATACCAGTTCCAGTCCTGGCTGCTCCACTTCCAATTCAACTCCTTGCTAATGCAAATGAGAAAGCAGCAAAAAAAAAAAAAAAAAAAAAAAAAAAAACTAAGTGTTTAGGTCCCTGCATCCATGAGCAAGTCACAAAAGAAGAAGCTCCTCACTTTGGCCTGGTCCAGCCCCAGCCATTGAGGCCCTTTGGGGAGTGAAACCAGTGGATGGAAGATCTCAATCTTTGTGTCTGTCTCTCTCCTTCTCTCTATAATTCTTCCTTTCAGATAAATAAAAATGTCTTTTAAAAAATCATTTTCACAACAATTCTTATGAAAATACTTTATGTAATGAAAAACAAGGAAAAAGGCTGGCGCCACGGCTCACTTGGCTAATCCTTCGCCTGTGGTGCCGGCACCCGGGGTTCTAGTCCCAGTTGGGGTGCGGGATTCTGTCCTGTTTGCTCCTCTTCCAGTCCAGCTCTGCTGTGGCCCAGGAAGGCAGTGGAGGATGGCCCAAGTGCTTGGGCCCCTGCACCCACATGGGAGACCAGGAGGAAGCACCTGGCTCTTGGCTTCGATTCAGCGCACCAGCCATAGTGGCCATTTGGGGAGGTGAACCAACAGAAAAAGGAAGACCTCTCTCTCTCTCTCTCTCTCTCTAACTCTGCCTGTCCAAAAAAAAAAAAAAAAAGAGAGAGAGAGAGAGAGAGAGAGAAAAGAAAAACAGGGAAAATGACTTTTGGGTCAAATTCTGAAATATCCATTAGCTGTTAAAAAACAGATCAGTGGATTGGCACAGTGGCATAATGGGCTAAGCCTGCACTTGCAATGCTGGCATCTCATATGGTTAGAAAGCATGTAGACCAGAGAAGCAAAGTCAGAGTATGCACCCAAGATAATCCAGTTGTATTCAGTATTAGATCTTGTTACTCCAAATCTCGCCTCTTTTCATTGTTTATATTATTATTATTTTATATACAACTACTTATATTATGTTTTCTAACTTCATTACTTTTTGAAAAAAAAGTAATATATATAAGCAATTTAATAAGATTTTAGCATTACCATTGGAAACTTAAACCAAAACAAAAACTATATAAACATTTCCTTAACATCAGATAAAATCTAACATATGAGGGTACTTCAAAATATTTTTCAAAAAGTAGAATTAAAAGATAAGATTATTTTGGCTCAAAAATATTTGGAATCTATGCATATGAGTAAGTCTTCAAAAAGTAATGGAAAATGCAAATTATGAAAAAACTGAAGAGATTGATTTCAAATTTTTTGCACCAAAATAAACTTATCTTTTAATTCCTTTATTTTTTAAAACATTCTTTACATTTTGTTCTTAACAAAAAGAATAAAGATGTGAGCAAGATGAAAAAGTAGAAGAGCCTAGTTTCTTCCCACAACAACACAGTAGAACAGAAACAGAGAAAGATTGAGAATGTGTATGAATGAATGAATTAACCTAACAGAACAGGCAAGAAGAGTTTGATTTTTCCTGAATTATACTAGCCCTAAGCATCCATACCCAGACAGCTCAACACCAAGAGAGATATCTTGACCCCATAAATTCCCTCTAGTAAGCGAACAGGAGGGCAAAGTAAGTGACCAGATTCCCAAGCCTTTCACAGCAGTGCCTAAAAGATAACTTTGGTTTCATCCCACCCAGATGGCTGAGAAAACAAGCATAGTCATGATATCTGGAGACTGCTAGGATCAAAAAAAATTGGGATCTTTAAGTGTCATTCATACAACAGGTGTCACTCAGCAGCCTGAAATTCCTGTTGAGAATTTCAATAACCATTGCAGCCACTGTGATTCCACCACAGTGTTCACCATTGGAACTCCCACAAGAATTCACTATCAAAAAGCCAAAGGCCTGCTATAACACAGCAGTTGTCACTGATAAAAATCCAACAACCGACACACCTGCCATGAATATCTTTCACCACCAACTGCCCTACAGTTTTTCATGTTTGTTGAACTCAGCTGCCTGAGATGCTATCCCTCACTTCCGCAACTTCTCTACCAGAGTTGTCCAACCAGCACTATGGCCTCCTGCCCTAGGACCCAA